GGTCATGATCCCGGAGTTCCAGGATCGAGCCCCGGATGGGGCTCCCCGCTCAGTGGGGAGTCTGCTTCTCCCTCTGCCCCTCAACCTGTTCATGTTCAATCTCTCTTTCTCTCTCTCTCTCTTTCTCAAATAAAGTCTTAAAAAAATGAAATCTTGTTAAGATGAGCTTAATTGAGTGTATAATCCACAAAGAATTATTTGGATTCTCCTATGTCTAGATTTCAAAAAAAATGTGCCAGGCACTATGTAATCTGCAAGAATACACAGACATCTCAGTCCCATTTCTTGCATTTTAGAGACAAGGTCCGGCAGGAATTTTTGCAAACAGTTGTGAACATGCAACCGAGCTTTGTATGAGCCATTTCTACTGATTATCTTGGATAACTATATAGAGGTGGCATGGCGTATTAGAAATATTGTAAGACTAAATTTGAAGCCCACTCTTAACAGCAGTGTGGCCTTAGACTCATTAACCTCTCTGAGCCTTGGAAATTATTAAGACCACTCTATTAGAGAAATATAGCTATTGAAGATAAGCAGTCTGAAAAAATATTAACATTTTGAGAAGGAATTAAATTGTTAAAATTTTTACTTCTGCAGAGCTAGATTTCTTTTAGATGTGGCTTTTTCCCCTTGCCTAATATCTGGATCTGTACAGCACTTGGATTTTAAGAACAGTAATTCTAAAGTGCTAGCAGTTAGGATTTAATGACTTCATTGGAAGTTCTTATTTTATGGTTCTTTGAGGTTATTTTTATATTTTAAGACAACTGTATCCTTTTAAAAGGTTAAGAATAACCACATGAGGTATAGAGAATCCAGATTTGGGTTTCCATTTACTGTATATGCTCTAAGTTTTAGTACTTTTCTATGACTTTAGAAAATGTAGGCAGTCCCCTCTGATAATGTGTCTCTCCGGGTATGCCATTTTTCCCTTGCATTTTGCTGAAGTGTCTGGTGCTTTGATCTCTGATCAAAGTTGCTTGTAGGCATAGTGTCATTCCATTTGAACCAAGAATATGGCACTTAGTCTTGCCTTTCCCAGTGGCCTTTCAAAATGAAAAGTAAATACATTATGGTTGGTGATATTAGATATAGAAGACCAATTTAAAGTTAGGTTTAATGAGTATATATTAAAATACGACAGGTTTTCTCCATTAGTTCTTAACCATCAAGAATACTATCTTAAAGTTATGTAGTTATGGCCCAATATTAACATAAAAGAAAAATTTAAAAGAAAAAGATTATTAACTAGAACTTCCCATCTGGTCAGTGACTCACATGCTTCCATTAAAACCTCCTTATTGTTTTGTCATTTGGATTGAGACAAGCGCTGTGTGGTATTAGGAGCTCTTGTTACTGATATCTAGGAGACTGTTCCATCCTAAAGTATGAGTGGCTCCATCCTCATGAAGTCTTTTAGGCTGTGCCAGCCCTCCAAGACGTGACCACCCAGAGTTCTCCTTTTAACAATCCCACGGAATTGGCCTCTGAAGTAGTCACCGTCCCTCATGGACACTGTCCCCTTAGGAACATGGTGAACAAGGAGAGGATTTTCTGGGGCTTGACTGTTCCCACAATTGACTGTTCTTGTGGGTTTTCCTCTGCCAGGAACCAGTTCTCTTTTCCTTTCTTGGACTTCTTTACTCTCCACTAGAGGTCACCCCATTGCTAGATGCTGCTCTGTCAGCAGGGGATCAGTGCTCAATGTTCCACACAGGCTGTTTTCAGTACATAAAGAACTGTCTCCCCAGAGCTGTGCCCATCCTCAGGAAGGTAGTAACTATTAATTTTTGAGTACTTAAGTCACACAACTAGTAAGTAGCTGAACCGGTGTTCAAACCCCAGCAGTCTAGCTCCAGATACATTCTGGGTGGGGTAGCCAAGCTCTTTTAACAGCCTCTGACACTAGAAAAATTGCGTCTCTGGAGCATTGTACACTCCGGGAAGTAGTCCCTCAGGAAGTCAGACCATATCTTCTCTCTCTCTCTCCTGCTCTTCCTACCTTGAAAAGTAGTCTTCGCTATGCTTCGCTTTTATGTTCATTTACAGGGGAACAGACTCAGCCCTCTGTGGATCTTGAAAGATACCAGTTCAGTGTTCATAATCACACATTCATGTTTCTAACTCTACTTGTGGAGTGGTTCTTACTACACACTACCTTTGGTAAATACCAGGGCCCTTATTAATGCTTAATCCAACAAACTCTTCCATAAAAAACCTCACTGTCCTGGTTGCCTGAGCCATCCAGACAGATGATCCCAAAGAAGACCTTTCTTTTTTTCTTTTCTTTCCTTTCCTTTTTTTGCATGGGGACAGTAGGCACCTTCAGACTTGACTCTTTTTTTTTTTTTTTAAGATTTTTATTTATTTGAGAGAGAGAGCACAAGAGAGCATGAGAGAGCACAGGTAGAGGGAAGGGCAGAGGGACAAGCAGACTCCCTGCTGAGCAGGGAGCCGGATGCAGGGCTCAAACCCAAGACCGTGGGATGAGGACCTGAGCTGAAGGCAGACACTTAACCGACTGAGCCACCCAGGCGCCCCATCAACGGTCTTTCAGTCCAAACCTTTAAGCCTCCATACCAGCAGTTGCACTCCTGGCCATTTGTCCTAGAGAAATGAAGATGTTCGTTCACATAAAAATATGTACCTGAATGTCTTAGAAGCTTTAACATAACACCCCCAGACTGGAGACAGCCCATGTCCTTCAAAAGGTGAATGGCTAAACAAGCTGTGGTACATTCATACCATGGAACACTATTCCGCAATAGAAAAAATGATACTATTGATATACACAAAAACCTGAATGAATCCTCAGAGAATTATGTTGAGTGAAAAAAAAAACCAAAAGGTTACTTACTGTATGGTTCCATTTATATAACATTCTTGAAATGACAGAATTCTAGAACTGGAAGACAGGGGTTTCCAGGGGATAAGGTGGGGTGGGGGTGGGAGGGAAGTAGGTGTGGCTGTGAAAGGGCAATATGAGAGAGCTCTGTGGTGATGGAAATGTTCTAGGTCTTAATTAGCAGCGTCACTATCTTAGTTGTGACATTGTAGTATTGTGAGGTAGTAACATCGGGAAACTGGGTAGAAGTACACAGGGTCTCTGTACTGTTTCTTCCAACTTCGTGTGAATCTACAATTATCTCAGAAAGTTTAATTTAAAAATCTTTAGTCCTCTTCACTCTTGGAACCATAGTTAATATGTGTTCTAAGTTTTACTCACTTTCATAACTTCTTGAGAAGCTGTTAATAGATTTCTAGTGATTAAGTTCTAATTGGGGTCTTAGACATTTTCTTGGAGGTTTCAAGTATAATTAGGTCTGATGCGTTTGTGTAATAATAAGTTTGAAATCACATAAATCTGCAATTGGATCAAATGTACTTTCTTTTGGGGCTTGTCATCAGAAGAAAATGGCAGAAGCGTTGTCTTGTGAATTTAAAGAAACTTTCTTGTGAATTTTTTTTAAGTTTTTATTTAAATTCCAGTTAGGTAACATACAGTGTAATACTAATTTCGGGCATACAGTATAGTGATTCAGCACTTCCATACAGCACTCAGTGCTCATCACAAGTGCACTCCTAAATCCCCATCACCTATTTAATCCATCCCCCACCCACTCCCCTTCTGGTCACCACCAGTTTAAGAACTTTCTTACGAATTTAACAGGTCATTTGAAGGGGTAACTATATAATCTATAATTCTGTCTCCAAATGAGAAGCAAAGCTTGACCTTTTCGTAATGCGAACCCTACTATCTTCAGAATTCTAACACCTGTACCATTTTAACATTGAAAATCATATATTAGAGGTAGGGTTTAGTCGTGAAGATCCAGCCCCAAGTGGTCATGATAAGAAAGTAAAGGTACTATACTTTGGGTGAATTCAGAATATTTGTGCAAGGAAATTAAGTGGCTCAGTAATCTGAAGTTTGTCTAAATTGGTACGTAAAATTTGTCAGCCCTCATCTTCCAGTCTAGCACTGGTAACCCTTATGATACAACCTGACTTAATGTATTTAAATGGAGCCTCATAAAATACCATTAATTATTTCTCATATAAGTTTATTTAAAGGGATTTGATAAAAATTGAGCATGAATGACCAGTAAAAGCTTAATCTGAATCTCAGCCTGAGCTACAAATTCGGGATTTAGTCTTTATATCCTACCACTTAGCGTAGTATTTGCCATATTTTGAGCACATAGTAACTGTTAGTTTCATGAATTAATACTGATTTTTTGTGGTCCCTACTGCCTGTGCATGGCCCTTGTTCCACAGTCCCTCACAAGAAGAGTACAGTGGGGCAGACAAGGTACTTGAGATGTCTGAGTGCGGAGGGAAACCTGAGGGGGTCCCCACAAGAGCATGAAGGTGAGGCAGCAGCACATTTCAGGAGAAGCAGGGTCTGGCGTGTGGAAGAGTCTACAGATAGATTTGGGCCAATTTTTCTTTCACACTGAAAAGCAAAGGGGGCAGAGGATCAATCTCATGGGGAGATTTAAGTACCAGCATTCAGGATGGATTAGAAATATTTTTTCTTAAATGTGTCCTCTTTGGTTTAGATATAAGTATTGGTTCTTTTTACTTTTCCCCCATGCAAATAGCATTTTATTTCTAGAAATGCTTTTGTGGGCTACTCTGAGATCTAACCACCATTTATAATGTGAAAAATGTGCATTCTGAATTCCAGGGACTTAGCATGGATTTTCAGAGTCCAGTTTGTTCTCTACTGATGGCACATAATTTGATTCTTTTTCTTTTATCTTTCTGACCATGCGTTCTTGTTTGTGGGCAACAGAGCCACTCCTTAGGAGGCCTTCTGTTCTCCCTTTTCACTCTTTTATTACTTGTCAGTTACTACTAGCCTCGCAAATTGATGCCTTAGCCATAGATTTTCTGGAGAATATTCACAGACCCCACCAGCTTGTCTGTGTTTAATAGAACAGCTAGACTTCATGTCACACCCTTGTTATAACTAAAGTTTCTATTTACTGTAGATCCTTGCTGTCACATTTCTGGATATTCTGTTGAACCTTCTTAAGAATTCAGAGAAACTGCTGGCTGACCACTGAAAGAAAGATATAATCTTCAGGCTTACGTGAGTATTTTTCTGCCGTCAACTTCCTCAGAGTATGTGAAAGCTTCGATGCCTTGCTTTATATAAGGCAGATAACAGTTCTGTGATCAAGATGAAAAATGTTATCTATCATTGGCCTTATTAAATTTGGGGGTAAAGTTAGTTTCTCAAGGACACAAAGAAAAATACACCATACTTATTCTCACTTAAAAAAATAAATAAACAAGGAAAGCTTTTTTTTTTCCCCACTGAGCCAACATTCAAAAGAATCCCAAGTCTTCAAACCACAAGAATTCTTACTGTGTTAGAAACAAAAATACTAAGTAGCTTGTTTTTCATTATCTCTTCTTACAGAATTCAACCAAAACATGTTATCTCTTGAAAAGCACTTGATATGTGGTATTTTAGTTTTTTAAAAATGCTTCTGATAGCTTTGTCCTTTTTAATGATCTAATCCAGGGAATACTGTAGGGGAAAATAGGGAGGCTACCCTCTAAAGAGAATTCTTGACTATTTTAATGAGCAATTTCTTCTCAATGGGTTACTTTCTTTAAAAAGCATTATATATGTCATAATCTGAAGTCTATTTTATCTTGATCTCTATAATTCTTAATCCTCAGCAGATTTTTCCCATATTTAGAATTAGCCTTAACAACTCCTTCTCACCTGTTGGATGCAGCGGGTCATTAAGTTGTGCTAATTCTGTCTTCTCTATCCCTCTCCATTGTGCTCCCTTTTCTCTGACACGGCCTCAGATCCGGCTGTCATCATTTCTTGACTGGATTTCTGCAGTGACCTGCTGATTGATCATCTCCCAGTCCCCAGCCTTGACCCCCTCTAATCTACCGTCTTCCTGTTGCTGACAGAGTAATCGTTCTGAAAGACTAATATAGTAAGACCATGCCATTTCCTTGGCTTGAAATCTTTCAGTGACTCCTTACTAAAATTCAGTATAATAACCCTTACCATAGAGTTGTTAGGAAGATGAAATAAAATGCATTAGGTACCCTTGGTGTGATGCCTAGCTTGGAACAGGCCCTCAGTGTGTGTCAATGTTTCCCCTTTGCACAGAGAACCCGTGGAGGCAGCAGAGCTCTAGGGGCAAGTAGCTAATGTCTGGAGGGACCGTGGCTCTGCTGGGAAACCAGGCTAAAAGGAGTGGGGGCCAGGAATCTCACCAAACTGCGAAGCCATGCTTTCCTGAATCCCCTTGAGGTCAGACACAAGAATAGATTGGTCTAACATCCAGTTCCATCAGTGTTCCAGAAAGAAGACTTTGTTTGACAAATTACAAGCCAACCCTGTCTGTGACTCAGCTTTTGTGACTGTAGAGTGAGGGAGTCATCTCTGTAAACACATTGGTCTCTGCCTTTGTGTTTTCTTCTTTTGTTTCTTCTTCTTTTGTTTTCTTCTTTATTTTCTCTTCAATTTCTTAGTAAGGTTTCTTTTGTCAGACTTTAACTTTCCTTAAATGAACCAAGAGGAGGTCAGGGAGACACACACATACACACACACAGACCAAGAGACTACTGGGGCAAGGAAGTATCAGTGAAAGAGGTGTGGATGTGCTGGAGAGGCTAGGTTACTCAGATGGATGAAATTTGTTGGGTGGACACAGTTGGGATTGCTGCTTTTGTCCTGCTTCTGAATTCCCAGACAGACCTGTTTTTCTTCATCTCTCAGTCTTCAGACAATGGGAGTTTGGCAAAATCAGATATTTAGATAACCACAGAATAGAATCAATACTGTAAAAGACAGTCTGAATTGATTTCATGGTATTTCCATTTTTAAATTCAGTTTGTTGCTTTTCTTAGCTTTTCTCCTTCCCCTGAAAATTGAAGTTTGTGCTGTAGACAAAACATTCAGCAGGTCTTTATTGAATATGAATTAATTTATTTCATTGTTTTTTCTTGCTGATTTAGTTAACTTTTGAGCTATGTAGAATATATCAAATATGATAAAAGGCAAATATGTGAAAGAGAGTTACTTTGTTTTAAATAAGAATCTACCAGCAGTAGCGTGTGTTTGAAGTTTAAGGATCATGTTATATATGTCTTCTGACAATGCAGTAAACTTTAAGTGATTATATTTTGCTTACCTTTAAAAATCTCTCTTAATCTTTTTATTTAATGAAAAGCAAAATAAAGCTTTATAGTAATTTAATTGCAATTTTGATCAAGTAGATATGAAGAAAATAAGACATTTTATTGAGAAATAAAATATAATTGAAAACTTTATTGTTGTTTCTGTTTGGTGAGGTAATTTATTAGAGGCAGGAGGCCAAGAAGGATAAGAAATAGTGCTTCTCTAAATGACTTCATTGTCTTCATTTAGTTTGGCTTCACCGAATCTCACCTCATATTTCATTACAGGCATAGTCCATCTGCTCCATCAGAATAATGTCCTACGTTTTTGTAAATGATTCGTCTCAGACTAATGTGCCCTTGCTACAAGCCTGTATTGATGGAGACTTTAACTATTCCAAGCGGCTTTTGGAAAGCGGCTTTGACCCAAATATTCGTGACAGCAGGGGCAGAACAGGCCTTCACCTCGCAGCAGCTAGAGGGAACGTTGACATCTGCCAACTGTTGCATAAATTTGGTGCTGATCTTCTGGCCACAGATTATCAAGGAAACACAGCCCTGCATCTCTGTGGCCATGTGGATACTATTCAGTTCTTAGTTTCCAATGGACTCAAAATTGATATTTGGTAAGTCCTCTGTGGTTTTTGAAATCTAGTCATTTCTTCCCATTAGTTTGTCAGCCAGTGGTCCAGTCTCAGAGTCTGTCGATTCTGCTTTCTCGTTGATCATCTGCAGTGACAAGTTCCACAAGGCATGGAGGACAAGGTAATCTTGTTAGGGGAGTGAGGAAACAAGAGACTGACTTCTAGATTTATGCTGAAGCAGTGCAGGTTTTTCTATGAAAACAGTGGTGAGGTTCTGCTACCAATAATTGTGTATTGTCAGATAAGGGAAAAAGAAGAAAAAAACTAACATTTGTTGGAAATCTGTTATGGACCAGGCACTGTGTTTACTTAGCTCATTTAATCCTTAGAATGAATAGCTCTTGAGGTCGGTGTTACCTTCATTTTACAGATGCAGTAGTTGAGACAAGAAGGGTTTAAACAAAGAGGTCACACAGCTGGAATTTGAACCTAGTTCTGCCTGATTCCAAAGTGTTTGTCTTCTGTCATATAATGTACCATGCTAGCTTCATAATCTCTCTGGGGCTCAGAGTCCTTTTTATGCTGAACAGTTTGAAGAAGGGTTTGTTTTAGTGATACCTTGTCTCTAGAGTGGAAAAGATGTGAGACCATCTTTAAAACTGAGCTTGACATTTAGACTACACTTACATGTTGCCGTGATTTACTGGTCCCTAAATCTGAAAAAGACAGCAAATGTGATGGACAAATGTGGTGGGAATTGGCTATGGGAGTCACTGTTACTTGGCTGTCTTCTCTTATTAGTGTTAAATAGGTAGGTGAACAAAAGCAGCTTATTTGGTTGCTTTGGGCTTTTATTTGTTTTTAATTCTTAGACTTTTCTTTTTTTCAATATGCTCTATTGCCATAAAATGTAAATGTCAGGTAAGAATGAATCTAGAATCTAGAACTTTCCAGTTAATTTCTAAGAAAATGTCCTCTTTTTCTTTTATTTATTCTCATGTATTTACTCTTTTGCCTCTATATTCTTTTTCCTCTTTCCCTATAAGGAAAAAAAATAGGTTTACTCAGAATTCAAGTTCCAGTTCAACCATTGGTTCTGCTCTGGGCTTCGAGTTAATTCGGCCCATGCCTTTGTCACTGAGATCTCCACAAGTGGGTACTAACAATATAATCCAACTGTTATGATGACCTCTTTATATTTATGAACTTTTTTAGTAATCATCAAGGTGCTACACCCTTGGTTCTGGCAAAGCGCAGAGGAGTGAATAAAGATGTCATCCGATTGCTGGAATCTTTGGAAGAACAAGAGGTAAAAGGGTTTAACAGAGGAACTCACTCAAAACTGGAGACCATGCAGACAGCTGAGAGTGAAAGGTACTTAACAATGTAGTTTTTTAAGGGGCAAGTCACTTTAAGTCTTTGGATCTTTTATGACAACTTTGTGAGCTTTCTATTTATTTGCTTTCAAGTACAGAGCTTTGATACTTTCTTTGAACTTTATATAGGTCCGTATGGCTCCAGATTACAATTGAGAAGCTATTAACAGAAAGTACTACGTGCCCACATGCACGTAATGTTCTCTTAGTCCCTGTGCAAGGAAGGCTGCAGTATTGTCAGCACAAGGGGGAAGAGGTGGTTAAGAGCTGGATGTGGGGGAAGGAAGCAGGAGTTTGAGAATTTTAAGTGCAGGTCACAAGCCAAATGGAACTGCAGAAAGGAGGAGAAAGATAAGGCTAGAAACTTGGACAGTATTAGAAAAGACCAAAAAGGCCATTTCAAAGGCAGGAAAGCGGAGTGCTGAGGAAAAGTAAAACAGGAAGAGAGAAATGAAGATTTAGCACACAATTCAGTAATGTGAAAGTGAAAGTACACTTTCCCATGAGTTGGAACAAATGAAATTTGGGCTCCTGTAAGTAACTGATGCTAAGATGTAGTAACTGACAGGGTCTTCAGTATCTCGTCATTTCTCGTCTCGAAGCAGTTTACAACATGGTTCAGGGAGCTCTGAAAAGGTGACAAATCGTCTTTTCTCCTGGCCCCACTAGCTCCACAGGTAAAGTCCGTAGTCCAGACTGAGTTGTACTAGCATGGAGTCTGGTTGATTGCCACGGAGTTTCAGCCTTCCAGATAATTACAAGGTAGGACAGATGATGAACCTACTATTGTCTCTTCCCAAAATTTTCAGTGGAATATATTTCAAGGGCCCTCATTAGCTGTTGACCCAGTAGCTTGACTGATCAGGACTTGGAAATAGGACCATATGGTCCACTTAGACTGTTGGGATCATTGTTTCTATGAGTTCTAATTGAAATCCTCTATTTTTTTTTTTTTTTTTTATAGTTGACCCTTAATTTGATTCCTTTGTACTGGTGATTGCTTTCCTTCCTCTTCATTTGTTGGCTGGTACTCTTTGGGAACCATGAATTCCATTCTCAAGCTTAGGACTATTTGTTTAGATACTTTCAAGAACTTACTACTGTCCAAAGAAATTAGAGCTTTACTTCTAGAATGGTGCATGCTGGTCATGAGTTATCACTGAAAGCTGACAAGTAGATAAAATAAGCAAGAAGTCCAAGATATATTGGCAAGCCCTTTTCTCTCACCTGTGTACTCTGGATTGACGGAATGCCATAAGCAATATGGTAACACTGAGTTTTCTATTATTTGTTAAAGATCGTGTTCTTCCAAAATAACTTGAAATTTATTTTCATAAATACTTTAAGCTTCTTTACCATGAAAAATGTCCAAGAATGTGTTTTTGCTTGGTATGTTCTGGGGACCTTGCTTGCTATATTTTGTGAATAGCCAGTGTCTTGGCACCTCCTTATCAGAAATATACTTTTTTTTCCCCTTTATTATAGATTTATTTATTTTTTTTAACTTTATCTTGCCTAGGTTGTGATTACTTACTAAGTAGTAGAAATAATGAGTCATTTGAGCTCCTCCGTATGAAATATTTACTCCTGCTTCTCTCATATACCTGTCATTTCCTTTAGCATAAGGATTTGTATTATTTATAGCATTGGGTAAAGCTAGTTCTTAAAAAAATTGAATTACTAATATTTGTACTACTTGGCTGCCGTACCTTATTCCTGCCCCTCAGTATCATGGTAGACATGTGATGGTTGAAGTTTAAATTAAAAAACTTAAAGACAGCATCATTGGTCATTAGGGAAATACAGAGCAAAGCCATAGCGAGTTACTACTTCATACCAGTAGGATGGCTGTAATCAAAAAGATGGAATGACAACAAGTATTGGTGAGGTTGTGGAGAAACTGGAACCCTCATATGTTGCTGGTGGGAATGTAAAGTAGAGTAGCTGCTTTGGAAAACAGTCTGGCAGTTCTCAAAAAGCCACACAGAGTTACCATATGACCCAACAATTCCACTTTAGGTATATACCCAAGAAAATTGAAAACATGGATTCACACAAAAACTTGTACATGAATGTTTATAGTAGTATTATTTATAATACCCAAAGGTGGAAACCACCCAAAAGTCCATCTACTGATAAATGGATAAACAAAATGTCATCTGTGCATCTAGTGGAATATTCCACCATAAAAAGGAATGAACTACTGATAGGTGCTACAACGTGGATGAGCTTTAAAAGCATCCTCCATTAAAACACTTTCATTTAAAAAAAAATAAATAAAAGCATCCTCCATAAAAGAAGCTGGTCAAAAAAGCCATATATTGTATAATTCTGTTTATATGAATTGTCCCCAGAATCGGCAAAAAGAAAGTAGATTAGTGGTTGCCAGGAGCTGATGGAAGGGGCAATGGGAAGTGATTGCTAAAGGGTACAGAGTTGATTATAGAGGTGATTAAATGTTCTGAAATCAGTGGAGATGGTTGTATAACTTTGTCAGTATACTAAAAACCACTGAATTGTACAAGATGAATTTTATATGTGAATTATACCAATAGAAAAAGGGAATAAAGCTTAATGGGATTGGCTAGCACGTGGCATTTTGGCAAAGCTGTGTGATGATTAGCAGAACATAAAGCAAGTTTTGAATGTACTTAGTATTTTCCATCACTCTTAGGATTCTCTGAGACATAACTTAAGGGCCTATAAATCAAGATGATGAAATTTTCCCACTCCCCCATACATCCCAAATTTAATTTAGTTATTTTTAAATTTGTGGGTATAGGATGACAAAGACAGTGTAGATGACACACGTACAAAAAAAAATATTGCACACGCACATTCGGTAGAAAACATTTCACTGGATAAGGTCACTATGGAAAATTCTGATTGGCAGAGCTTCATGAGCTCCTAGAGATTGCTCAGCTGAATCCTCATTTTATATCTAACATCTTTGAATATGAGATCACATCAACTCGGACATAGTCAATATATTTCATACAAGTCAAAATTAACCTCTCCTGAACTTCTTTATATATTCATGGTATTATGTGTTTAAACCTTCCCAAAGTTCCAATCTTATTTTTGAACTTGCTTCAGTTTTCTTAAATTTTTGTATTCATATAGACTCCCACTGAAAATGTCTTTTCTTATTTAGAGAATAAACATCTTTTAATATAGAAAGAAGAAAAGCTCAGGTATCGAACAGAGTGGCCCATTAGGAAGTCAGCTTCCTATGATGAGAGAAGACCTCTAATACTAGTAAATGCTGAAGGATGTCTGGTTAAGTGTCAAGAAGTAAAGTAAAATTGTGGATTAAATAAAATGCCAGTTTTTGCATGATGAACCAGACTGTAAGACACTTTTATTCCGTTTCCATTGTCCTATGCCCAGATGGTTGGAAGAATATGAAGAGAAAGGGTTTAGGAAGGGTGGTAAATTACCTTTTATAAGCAACAGGTAGTTGATACATAGAATTATGGTCATTGTGGCATTAATCTAAATGATACCCTGTTATTGGACATGCATGTTGTGACATAACTGTGGGTGCTCATCCCTCTGAGCTTTGAATTCATCACAGTATGGCCATCCACATACCAAAGTCAGATACCCTGTTTTCTACTTGTAAGGGTCATATTTCTCGTTGATAGAGTTCTGAAAACCAGAATCAAGAATCATTGTTTTTATGGCTTGTGGTACCTTATTTTTGACTAGATTCAGCCTTTATGCAGAAGTGAGATAAACTTATTTTGTATTATTGTACAAGATAGAACTGCCACCAGTTGGAGGAAGCTGTTAAGAAGAATTCCTAATGGCTAGGCCTGTTCAGATGTACAACAGACTGAGCTAAGTGTCTGTTTTTAGAGGATTACAGTTAAAGGAAGTAATTCCTTTATTGGTCAGATAATTGAACTGAGTTAATGAAAATTCCCTTTTAACTTTAAGATTCACACACTGTATAAAAGTGACTCTAAAAATCATTCACAGATTTACCCATCTTTGCTTATTTTCATTAACATGAATTCTTAAATTATGAATCTTTGTTTTGAATTCTTCTAAATTTAAAGTAACCACAATTTGGTTACTTAGATACCAGGAGTTTGAAACAACTCATTTGACCTACAGTCAAGACTTCTGCTTGGGACCTTTTCATTAGAAAAGGATTTTTAACTCTGACTCTGCTGGATACTAAACCAAGAAACATAATCATTGCAGCTTAATTGACAGTTGAAGGTAGATTACCAGGTACATACATCAATACATGAATGTATGAGAGCACATTTGTCAGTTTTCTTCTTGTAAATGTTGTGTCTTGTCTTTTCTAAGTAACGTGGTTGCTGTTGTATCTTTCTGAAATGGGTGGAATGTGTTGTTCATGCCCCTTTCCTTTGTCTTTGCTCCTTTCACAGTGCCATGGAAAGCCATTCTCTCCTCAATCCCAACCTGCAGCAAGGGGAAGGAGTCCTGTCCAGCTTCCGAACCACATGGCAGGAGTTTGTCGAGGACCTGGGCTTCTGGAGGGTGTTGCTCTTGATCTTTGTCATTGCTTTGCTGTCCCTTGGCATTGCATACTACGTGAGCGGGGTGCTCCCCTTCGTGGAGAACCAGCCTGAACTGGTGCATTAAAGGAGCCCACGGGGATGGGGCCAGTGCCTCTTTCCTGGCTTCCACTGTTTTGTTCTGAGTTTCTCAAACGTTTTCTCTTAGTGCAAGGCAGTGAGGGCTGTACATTTTTTTCTTTGTGCATTTTTATGTATTGTAATCCTTTTCGAACAACGTGTTCATTTGAACTAACCACATACCATAGTCAAGTATACTTCATCCTAAAGCTACCTCTGACTCAGCCCGACTTGTTAGGAAAGGCTTCACATAGCCTTGTTTGATAAAAACATGGAGGCGACTGAAGAATGAAAGATAAAGGAAGAGACTAGGGAGTCTTGCTACAGAAACCTTACCCTAATATGGGACCAACTAAAGTGAAGTGCTCAAAAAGAGAAAGGTTTTCTTATGTGATTACTTGTTGTTAGTTGGTTGATTTAGGTTTTGTTCATTTTTGCAAGAGCCCCTTTTTTTCTTTTTCTTTTCTGGGAATAGGGGAGAGAATGAAACATTAAGCTTAAAACTTGAAGTGCTTTTTTCACATCCTGTATAGCAAACCAGTATGTGGGATTCTGTTTGGTTTATTTTAATATTTTCAAGTCTAGTTACAAACTGAACAGAACTTTTGAAAATGAGCTACATTTTCTTCAAAAATGATTGATTTGATATTTATTTGTTCATAGGATAATTTTGGTGGGTTTTTTTTTTTTGTAAACTGCTTTGCTTGTTGTTAATATCTGTGAAAAAAGACCTTGAGTTCATTTTGTTCACTTTCCAGTTTCCCCTAGTGTTTATATCAAAGATCTCCTGTTCATCAAAAATATAGTCAGAAAACTCTTTTTCGACTCAGTAGTTAGCAGAGAAAGATAATTCTGACATCTGTCACTGTAATTCTGTAGTGCTATTATTGTGAAAAATTCAGTGCTACAGGCTAGCTGTGTTGTTACAACTATATCATAGTTGATAATTATTTCATTTTACATGCAATCCTGTTTAGAGGCCCTGTTAGAATTGTCTTAACAGTCACATTCGTATCAGTAATTCTCTGATGCAAGAGTGGGCGGAGCATTTCTGCGGTAGCAGTGCTGAGCGCTACTGTACTGGGTGCCCTCCGCTCTTTACGGATGGTGATATTATGTCAAGTGAAGTCTGGTCCCCACACTGTATTGCAGCTTTCAGCCTCTTTTGTTAATGAGTCTGTTATGTATAAATCATATTCTTGAGTTTTTAAAAAGTATATAAAGAGTTGATAATTATTCACTGAGTATAGTCAGAAAATTGTAGTGAAAGAACTAATGGTTTTATTTTTTAGAACAAAGGCGTCTAAGCTACTGCTAATTGAATTGTTGCTACAGGTAGAAATTATACTTTAGAGTAGGATTGACATTTCTGTGATTCTTGTTGCTTCTTGCTATTTTCTCTTGTATTTATATATGTAGGATTAAGGTGTTTTCTTTCATGTGGCTTTATCCTCTCTTAAAGAGCTGTTCAAAAATTCCTGATTTAACTGACTGCTTCAGGATCAGCTCACAGAGTCTTGTTTTTAGGGTAGAAACAAAATAAATCATACTTGGTAAAATACAGCAAAATAAAAGCCAACTTTAGAATGGAGAACACTAGAACTCAAAATCAGAGTATATTCAGAATGAAAGCTTTGGAATTCACTTTATGTTTGTAAATCTTGATAAGCAGAATTGGTTAACATATATGTAAAGATACCGCATTTTTTAAAGATTTTAAGTGCTGATTTCTTTGTATTTTAATCTCTGCATTCAGCATTCAGTAATACTACCAATAAATGCATTTAGAGTATCTTAATCACAACCCATTTTCTTAGTGTGTCATTGTTTTCTTTTAATTTAGGGCTCTTTGTATTAGGTTGCAATTGCCAGTTTAAAAAAAGTTTTTTTCAAACCTGATGTAACAGGTATATTGAATTTCACATATGTTTGCCTTGTAAGTGCTCTGAAACTAATTTGGGCGAATTGCCTGTGGATTCAAGAGTGATGTTACCTACCATGATCAAGCACCTTTCTATTGCGTATTTTACTTAACATGCCTCATCTCATGCCGTCGGTCAGCCCCCCGGCCCAAGCTACATTTTCCCATTTTGTAAAGTGAGAAAACTGACACAGGGAGGGTTGTGACTTGTCCAGAGTCAGACAGATAGGTCATAGTAGAACAGAGATTCCAAGCTGAAGCTCTATCCCCAATTAGAAGTTTCTGTTTTCCTTCTGCCCCACTGTCTGTCATGCACCTGACAGTGAAGTCATCTAGAATCTTGCCTGCTGCCATCACAGCAATACATTACTAAATTTTCTACCCACATTCCTAAAAACTTTTCCTCCTATAATGCACCATTTCCCACATCCTCTCAGTATTGCCAGCCTTTAAAATTAAAGGTCTAATTCTGGCATGTTCAGAAGACCTTCCCTAGTTAACCTTGACAGCCCATTTCTCTGCCTCTTATTTCCTCATCAATTACCGTACTAAATAAACGTGTTTTTTTTTTTTATTTGTCTCTAATTACAAGCTTCATGAGAGCAGGGGCTTAATCCATGTTACTACCCATTTGTCCACATTTGCCTCCTATGTTGTGCAGAACTCTTTGTACACACATATTGACAGCATTACTTTTTCACCTGTAGCTATATTTTTTCTTTTTAGATTTAAAAGCTTTTTACCTTTCACATGTTCTAACAGGCTGCATGTGTGAACTGTGTTGGTCATTCTTCCATGGTATGCCTGTCGCTTGATGGAAGAATTGCACGGTTGTGAACGGTGTAGCTCCTTTACATAAGAGCATGCAGGCTCATTTACCATAGGTTTAAAAAAAAAAAAAAGTATAATTGGTGTATACTTGGTATAGAAGTCCGGGAACAATATTCACCTTTTGTTGTTTTGGGTTTTGTTTTTTTGGTTTTTTTTCAACCAGGCTTATTCTTTGTCTTGCGAAGTTGTTCATGTATGTATCAAAGTGCTTTCAGTTGCAGGAAACCAAAACCCAAATTAAAAGTGGTTTAAACCGTAGGAAATTACTGATGGATGTAACTGGAAGTCTCGAGGTAGAGCAGACCCCCAAGGGTGACAGTCCGAATTTACCTGTTTTCCTGTGCTTCTGGCTCTGCCCTCCTGCTTGTTCACTTCATCCTCCAGCTGCTTCTGAGATGAGTTTAGAATTCTCAGTCCTCACATCCACTTGTAACCATGAAGAGAAAAAGAAAGAGACTGTCTTTCCTGGTGGTTTTCTCCTAGGAAACTTCCTGCCAGGCCCCCAGCAAACTTCCTCTGTGTTTCATTGGCTGACATTACGTCATGTTCCCTATTCTCAAACCAACCATGGCCATGCCCTGACAGTGAAGCCTGGATTGATGAGCCAGTTATTGGTGAGGGTGGGAGTGCTAGAACTCATATGATTGGCTTGGAGCAATGGTTTTAGAAATGATTGGAGGTACTGCTGGCAATCACTGGGCAGGGCCAGAGATGCTTTATGTCCCACAGCACATGGGAAGGTGTAGCACGACAAAGAATTGTTCCATATGTCATGATTCTTGAATGTTCTGTTGAACATTCAAAAAAAAAAAAAACTTAGTTACCTGAGCCTTAAACCCAAATCCATTTTTTTATAGAGTTTTAACATACACTGAATTTTCCAAGAATACAACCATGAGATCAGTAAGGGAAGATTCTACTTTATTTTGTTAAAACTTGACCAAGAACTGCACCTGTCTCAAAGAATCTTGTTACCAGTGCTGCTGGTGATAATTGAGTTACCAACACAGTTCTGTATATAGGTACTGATAACTTTATTGCTTCTTGTGTGGCTGTGCCTATGCATTTATATATCAAAATACCCGTTTTATTATCCATTACTTTCCCTTTATTTTGCCTTTATATTACATGACTTATATGAAATCATCATATTGATTTTAGCAATTGTTACTTTTATCTGGGACTCATATTCATACTATACCTTCTCTCACTTGGTCATCTTGATGTACCTTTTCCAAATAGTTTATCTTAGAGGGTACACCAGGAAATAGCATTTCTCAAAGTTAATAGACCACCGGGCGGGGGGCGGGGGGTGTGGGGAGAAGAAGTCAGCATCTGGTTAAACTACCCTTTAAAATTGTTCGGTTCCAGGGCGCCTGGGTGGCTCAAGTCGGTTAAACATCTGCCTTTGGCTCAGGTCATGATCCTGGGGTCCTGGGATCTTGGGGTCCTGAGCAGGGAGCCTGCTTCTCTCTGCCCCTCCCCCTGCTTGTGCTCTCTCGCTCTCTCTTGAATAAATAATTAAAATCTTAAAAATAAAAAATAAAATTGTTCAAATCCAAACAGTTCCAACTGTGCTGATCAAAGTAGAACTCTGGGATCAAGCCCATTCCTTTGTGCTCTGAAGTAGCTTCAAAGCAGTTTCCTAGGGATGATCTTGGCCTTGCCATGGATACCTCCTTGGCTTCCCTCATAGCACAGATAGGTGGGCATTCTGTTGAGCCACCTTGGACTTGGCACATCAGAAATGGAGGTCCACAGCCCAAGGCGTAGGGGCTGTGTTTACATGGCAGTGGAGGTGGCCACACTCCAGTTAGATGTCAAGGAATACAATCTGGAGTCCTTGTTGCCAAATGCCAATCAAAAACTTATAATGGTATTTAGAGAATATTACTTGGAAGATACTTATAGATCAGTACTATTCAAACTTTCTGAAATTTCTATATCTGTGCTTTCCAGTGCAGTTATTTCAATTAAATTAGAAATCTAGTTGTTCATTAGCAGAGTTATCTGAGCCTAATACCCAAATCCCATTTTACATTTGAGAGCAAAACTATCCACATTTCTAGTGCTCTATAGCCACAAGAGGCTATTGTATTGAATAGCACAGATTTTTGCAGAAATACTTTTGGACAGCACTGTTCTAAAAATCTATGGCGTCAAGTCAGATCAGTGTAGAGCTAGATACTGAATTGTATTATGGTAGTACCAACCCCAATTACTTCTACTAAGCTCTTCATTAATAAGTGGTAACACTATACAATGCTTATTAACTTGCTTAATCTTTGCAAATTGCTGTTGTTATCCCCACCTCACAGTTACAGAAACTAAGGCACTTGAGCCAGGTCGGAATAACCTGCCCAAGGTCACACAGCAGAGCTGGGATTTGCACTCGGACAGTGTAGGACTGGAGTCTCTCCTAACCATCGTGCTGTGATGTCTCTCTCTGCTTGGCTGTGATGCCATCATTTTCAAGTAAGAATTGTCTTGAGTACTAGCCCTGTGTACCCACCCACTGCATCTACTTAAGGAAAGTTACTGAGGATGCTGTTGGCATAA